GCTTAGGAAGGAAAGGAAGGCCCCCTCGCGGGTACGTGCCTGCCTCGTCTTCAGACTGAGGCTTGGCTCTCAATGCGAACTGTGTCCGCGCCTGCCTGACGACGGGACGTTTCCAATCCTCGCCAACGCAAATGCAGTTTTACGAGGAGACGTGATTTGAGAAAGAAGCCGAACCTGCCGCAGAGGCCACCACCACCTCACCTCAAGTCTCCAAGTCCCCAAGTCCCCTACGTACCTTCTTTGCAAAGTCCCAAGTAACGGTTAGGTAGGGCCGGGCGAGGTAAGAAGGTAGGTGCAGAAGGTACCTTCCCACATCTTGTTGCCGCAAAAGTGACTTGGACATGACGAAATCGTAAGCTGGAACACACGCTTACACTCACACACACCACCTCACAACGTGTCTCCGTCTCTGTATGCGACCAATTTCGAGACCAACACCAGCTTCAATTTAGACGTGCATTCATTGCATTCTCTGTCTCAATTCTCGTAAATTTCGCAATCTCTCTCCTTGTTCAATCATAATCACCACCACCACAACCATCTTCGGACGCCTCGTCGACCTTACTCCGTCCGTTCCCTCGTCCGCTCGTTTCCACAATCCTGGCATCTTGTCTCGGTCGAACTCTGCCTTTCTCGTCCATCCGGTCTTTAGTGGTCCGGTCTGGTCATCTGCCCTGCAGTCGCAAATCTCCACCACCACCATCATCATCCAGCAGAACCGCCCCCCCATCATCATCATCACCCATCATCATCGTCGCCGGCGTCGTCACCCACTCCGTCCCTTCCAAGCCCTCGTCCGCGTCTGATCACCATCCCCGTGCCCACAGACTCGACCGATATGACCACTGCCCAGCCTTCGGATTCGCGGCTGAGACCCTCCACCGAACCCAGAGGACCCCCAAAATGCAAAAAAGGACCTTCCAAGCCTCAAGGTTGACGACGAAGAAATAAGGTGATCAGACGCTAGAATGGAGTCCCACTCCTTCTAGAAAGATTGCCCGGGATCCCTGGGTCGCATAACTGATCTTTTAATTGCCAGGTATGCGTGAAACGCGTTTCCTTCATGCGATACCCGTCTGACCCCTGCTCCAGCTTCAAAACTACCCCCCTCCCATGATCCATCATGTCTCGACAAAGTCAACTCGCCCGGCTTCTCGCCCACCAGCAACCCACACGGAACCACTGCGATACCGCCAGACACTCGACCGCACCACAACCGCCAGCTCTGCGGCAGCCCTTCGCCGTGCTCCGTCCGAGTGCCCTACCTACCTCATCAGCCCTCCTCTTCGACTTTTCGTCCCAGCCCTCTCTCGTCCAAGCGCCCCTGCTACTGGCTCGGCCCTCTCCTCGTCGAGACGAGCCAACCTTCCTTGCCAGCAGTTGTTGACCTTGGCTCGACTACACGGTACTTCGCGGTACCTTTTGCCCAGGCGCCGATGCAGTCCTGGGCGACCACCAGCAGCTTGTATGATGACTTGCTTACCTTCACGCACCAAGAGCCCGGGATGTGCATTGAGTCGCACAATCTCCTAATTGCCGAGAGCCGGGGTTCTCTCTTTTTTCCGCATCTGCTTACACCCACCACATTCCCGGCTGGCGCTCCATCGGGTGGGTGGGTGCAACCGCGCGAGCACGCGTGTACGTTGCTGTGCAGTAGTCTTGGGATGCCCTCATGGCCGTGGAAACGACGAATATGTCGAGTTGGGCCAGCCAAACACACGTGGTCGGCGGCAGCGCGCGCTTCCCATGCAAACAGACGAATAGTCAAGTCGAGCGAACGGCTATCATCCCATGGTTTCGACGACGGCACCATCGTGTGGCCTGGACGTCGAGTCGCACACGTCCCAAGTTCCCAAAATTCTTCACAAAAAAAGTGTTACCCCACAGGCTAACTAGTCTTGTCTTATCGACCCTCCCCTCCGTCCCATCTTGACGACGACGCGCGCGCGCGCCGCAACCCGCGTGGGCGTGGTTACCTCTATCAGCCGCCGCCGCCGCATTGCCGAAGCAGAACCTCAACCGTGGCGCCGCGGCCATCTTCATCTCGGCCAATTTCATTCACAGTTGTACACCTCAAGTCGCTGCTCTGCATACGGCCATCTGGCGCCCTGACCTGCCAGATTCGAATGCTTCGCCATGGAGGCGAAGACCGAAGAGTCACGACGTTTCTCATCTTTGGAACGCAAATCCCCCTGCTGCGGTCGACTTCATCTTGTGTCAACCGGGGTCGCATGCCTCCTGGGACCACTGACGTTGTCTTCCGAGTCGCTCCCGAGTTTTTGGCCGGGAGTCTGAGGGGTGAAAGCAGGCCACAAGCCCCAACTGGCGGCACTGGAGATCAGGGCCAGAGAAAACCACAGGGTCGATCCAGCATTCGACGTCGAAAAGGCCCGGCCTTGTCTGCCGGCCGTGGTTTTTCTTCTCCTTTCCCACCCGGCAGTCCCTGGTTTTTACCCCTCGGCAATCTGCCCACTAGGACGAGTGGCTGTTGCAACCTTACCGTGTTGCTGGCCCTATCGCATACTAGAGCGGCGATTTCTCTTCACGGTTCTGCTATACCCTCCCTGCTTCAGATATACCCCCTTCAGGGCCAAGGCATGACTTCTCAGCGCTCACCCAGCCATTTTTCTTTCCCAAAACCTGCTGTTTGCCCCCCGACCGGCTCCACTGCACTGGCCAGAATGGGCAGAGTTGTTCAGGTTGCGCTGTTCACTGCTGGTCCTCACCCGAAGAAAACACCCTGGTCAAGGCCGACCGGGGGGAGGAGGTCCAGGGACTCAAGCTCCCGCACATACGCACACACACACACACACACACACCAAGTCAACTGCCTTGGGCCAAGAGCTGCCACCCCTGGTACTGTTTTTTTCCCTCTCTCTTTTCTGACCTTTCGTCTCCTCTCCTCTCAGCGTGCACATCCCCTCAGTGAAGCAGGGGACCGAGCAACATGGGCGGCCTTCTTCTCAGAACTTCACTTGTCATGGTCTTCCCAACCAGCCAGCGCATGGTAGGGCTCGTTTCAGCTTCTATCCCTCATTCGACTGAAGGTGTTTGGATTCCTTCCATGCGTTTTTCCAGACCTCTCTGCTGTCTGGGTCGCCTAGCCCTCCTTCCAGGATTTGATCGAAGTTATCCGGGGGCTTCTTAGAGTTACGAAATTGTTCAGACCTGGCCCCCGGGTACCCTGTCTGTCAACTGTTCTAAGCTGTCTGCTGTCATGCCCACCCCTCGCTCGTTGCATCATCAGAGCCGGCCGGGGGCACTCCTGCTTCTATATCCGGCAGCGAAACCCATGGCATAAGATCCCCAAATTATGCTACCGTCATCACTGGGCAAGGTTAACTTGAGTCTCCGCAACCTACTCAGGAACAGAATACGTCTCGCACATGGCGAATCGCTTACAATGTGCTTTAACTCGGGAACAAAAGCGGCGGTAGTCGATGTACCCTTTTTCTTTTGCCTCACACCCTGTGCATACCATACCTACTACCCTTGGCCCTCCGTCCCTCGTTCTCCTACCTACCTCGCACTCAGTCAGTCACTCAGAAGACTCCTCTCTTGCCCGGTCCCCTTCCCTTGTCTTCCCTTGCCTTGCCTTGCCTCAACCGACCAGACCCCCAGACGGGACCAGACAGACTGGAACCCACACAGCCCTCTATTCCTCTTTTCGATAAGGCACATCGGACGATATAATGCAGCCCTTGCCCACGCCCGCGCTTTCTCTTTTTTGACCCCTTCATCACTATATTAGCTGTCCAGGGCCAACGGGATTTATAATAAGTCAAGGGAAGATCCCGTGAGCTTAAACAGCGCGTGGCAACAACCAGTTCAAAAAGGGTAGCATGGTTACCTCGACTTCTATTTCGTCTTAATAATTTTTTCCCACCTTACGCCAGCCAAAGGGAACCCATCCGTCTGGCCGTGCAGTCAGACAGCTCTCCACCAACGAGGAGACTAATTCTACAAGACGGCAACACCACCAACTCGGGACTTGTCTCTTCCAGTCTCCGTCATCATCAGCATCAGCACCAGCATCAACCACTGCAATCACCGGCGACCGCCAACAATCTCTCAAAATTCCACAATACCCTTCTCCCGAGATTCCGCACCCAACCGCGACCATTCTCTCCACACCGCCTGGGCACGAATGTTCGTTGACTTTGGACGGGAGGTCTCATCACGGCGACACCATAGCGCTGTCACAGGATCGCAGTTTGAGAGACTTCCACCCAGCTCGCGACCCCGCAACGTCGCACCAACAACCCTCCCCTCTCCCGACGCCGCCCGAGAGGGCATTCGCTCAACCAATTCTTTCACTTCAGAGCCCGGCGACCGTCCAGAGCGGTTCGCTCTGGCGGAACCCATGTATTGGAGGCACACTGGCGGGCAACTACCGAGTAGGGGACTACAATGTCGATTACTCTGCACAGGAGTCGCATCCGGGCGAGCAGAGTCAGCAGCAGCATGGTTATGACACGACGCCATCCCATCAGCAGCATCATAGGAGCTCCATTCACCATGGCGCCCAACACACGCCCACGCTCCATGATCCGTCCCCGAGCCACCATTCCCACCATCCGGGAATGCAGCAGCACCATCCTCACCACTCCCACCAGGTACTAATGGATCCAGCGCACCAGATGGGGCATGCCAGACATCTTGGCCCGCCTCATTATGGTGCTCCGGGTCCTGTGGTTGCTCCTCTGTATCCCTCGATGACAACGCCCACCCAGTCCCACGCGCCGCACGGAGCCCCAAAGAGACCCAGACCTGATGACCTCGACCTTTCCGTGCCTGGAATCCCGGATCTGGAGCAGACTGACCTCGAGAGCATGCAACAGACGCCACTGGGAACTGGTTACGGGCAAGGAGTTCAAGTACAACCTCCCACGCACCACCACCATCGACTTCCTGACACAGGGCCCCCTTCTAAGCTAATGAGGCGCGATGGAGATGGCGGGGACAGAGGCGGCGCTCCAAGCGTGGTAGGACAAGCTGGCATGCCCGCTCCAGCACCGAGACCGCGAGGGCCGAAGCTCAAGTTCACGCCTGAAGACGACCAACTTCTAATCGACCTGAAGGAGAACAAATCACTTACCTGGAAACAAATCGCCGACTTTTTCCCTGGTCGATCATCTGGAACCTTGCAAGTGCGCTACTGCACGAAGCTGAAAGCTAAGACAACCCAATGGACCGACGAGACGGTATGTTACCCTTGTGTTGACATCGAATCTATGCCCAAGTACGAATTCTAATCTTCCTTTTGGCTTAGGACCAAAAGCTTCGCACTGCACTTCAAGACTACGAGAATGAGAAATGGCGCATTGTGGCCAACAAAGTCGGGACCGGCTTCACCCCTGCCGCTTGCCGCGAGCGCGCCCAGGAGTTGATGGGTGGTATGGGTGCTCCTTTATAGCATTCAATGTCTCCACCGGGAGCAACTGAGCCCCCGGCTGGAGACACCATCTACACGCAGCAGCTTCAGTGATGAAGAGGAGCTTGCCTTCAGCGATGATCTCCATTACGCGACATGGAACGACATGGCCCAACCAGAGCATTCAGACCGACTCCTCCAAACACCGCACTCTAATAATCACGCGGACTGTCGGGAGGACGCGAGAGTCTACGATAAATCTGCCGTCGTTGCTTGTAATAGCTTGGGCTACCGACAATAAAGAGTACGCAGGGGTTCGAAGACCTGCTCCAGCTCCGACCTTCGAGCATTACTCTGAGATGGAGGCCCTGACACCGCAAACCGCACATCGCCTCTTTGATTTCAGCATGTCTTGCCCCTCGATCACGGCCGAGGGAATCATAGTCCTTTTGCTTCATTTTTGCTGGATTCCCCTTCCGCCTAATTCTAGAGATACCCCCGGACATCACGGGTTACCTTATTCAACCCTTTTTACCCTTCAAATTCGCACCTTCGACCGACTTCTTCTTTTTTACGGTTCCGAATCATGACACAACACACATTAGACTTGGGGGGCACACACACCGAACTATGCAATATACGGCCTTTTTGTTTGTTCATCCCATCCTTCGTACGACTTGCTTTCTCGACAGACGACATACCTCTTCTTGCACCATACAGGAGATTCTTTCAGCGTGCGTCCCACCATTGGGACTGCGTTGATGGTTTCGCATAATATGGCGTGGCGTCTTGTGGGTGGAAAAAAAAGGGGGGAAGGGAGGGAGAAGCATTCTGCATACACGCGCGGTTCAGCATCAACGATGACGTCTTTTTTCTCTGTTTTCACCTTTTTTTTTTCTTCGATTCGTTCTCACCACACAATCATTTGTTTCCACATGTTACCCCCTTTTTGATTTTCTGTTCACTTCTTTTTTTTCTTCGAGATCTTGTAGTTTACGTAACAGTTTTTTTTTTCGAATCTACTTCTTTGCTCAATAATCTTTGCAACAGCTCTAGCTTCCCTGGACCACGTGGATCTGCGGGTTGTATATGGCCTCATGTTGTGTAAATCATCGCCGAATACCGACGAGACGGGCAGCCCTACCAGTCCGTGAAACAAACCAACGGCAGGCTAATGTGCCGGTCCAAACCGTTTTCGACGCCCAGGCAGGGCTGTAATAGGGATCGTGATATTAACAAGTACGTTATTACGGGTCCGGCTTCTATGATCCGCGCGTCCGGGCGCGACGAAATTCTCTTTTGCGTGCGGCCATCAAAGAAGCTAGAACTCGAACCCCTCCCACCGGGGGTACCGTAACCCATATTATCGGTGGGGGCACCGGAACCGCTATTGTCTTCCTTCTAGACCAAAGATCATCCGCAACGAAATGGGGCCCTGAATCGTGAGGAACCACATCAAAAGCTACAGTCCAACGGTGAGAGTGGCCGGCCTCGCCAAGTGGACGAAAAGTAGCATTGTACCGCGTATTCTGGGCCCAGAATCCTGTTCGTCAAGGCTAGAGTCATTTCGAGTTAGGGCCCCCAGAAATGCGAGAATTACAACCTCGCATGCGTCTTCCGAGTTTACGAGGGGGGAGAAAAAAAGAAATGACAGCACGATCCAGATTTGTGACCAAGATAGAGGACATGCATATGGCGCACTGCGGCACACAGGTGTTGGCAACGCAAGTCATGCATTCCGGTGCCCTCTTCCGCCCCGCTGCCTGTGTTACACATCGGGTCGGCAAGTCTTGCTTTGCTTGTTGGAAGGCGATTATGTAGGTTGGTAGGTAGTTGAGGCGGCTTGTAAAAGCAACGGGCCCCTCCTAGCAATTACTACCCAAATCAGCACAAACTGCCGAGATAGGTAACGGTAAAGTCGGCCGCAGGAAAGGAGACCGTCCGCTCTCTCCTACGACAGTTCTTTTCCCCTGACCTTAGCGCGGACGTGGCAGGTGTGGCTTGGCGAGCGAGCGGAATGGCGGGCATGTCATGTAGGTGCGCTTCTGCGTCGACGGTAGACGTCAAAAAAAGTCCGGGGAACTAAACAAGGCCCGGGGTGTGTTATCGCAGACTGACGGGTGACGGGCTTGTTGCTAAAGCGGGATAGGCGAGGTCGTTTGTCTGTGATTGATTGCGCCTCCGCCCGCGTTTCACACGCCCATCGCAAGGCGAGACGCGCATGCCAGATCTCTTTTTTGACATCGGCGGGTTTTCTATATTTTTGTTTCCTCGCACTCTATCTCTGGCGCGAGGCTTGCGCTTGTTTGAAATGCCAAAGAAAGTTGCCGAGTAATTGTTGAAAGGGGGGCCTAGTCATCGCCCACCGGCCCATCAAAAGGGGAGGGGCCGTTTGAGAGAGGAATGGATACTGAACGCCCAACCCCGGGAGTCGCGCAGAGCGGCGAGAGCGAGGCAGCAGATAGCATGGCACTCGGGGCTCTGTATTTTACTTTCTCGGCACAGTGTTGCTCTGTCTCTCAGGCTCTCGGGGCAGGCAACCCGTATGTGAGAGCCCAAAAGCAAGCATACAGGCCTGGAGCGAGTGCTGAACCTGATCCGTGGAACAGGGAAGGCAGCTTGAGAATTGTTCGTAGTGTGGGCGTCTGCTCCGCATGTGCCGTGTCGGGCGTGACCGATCCTGTTGCCCAAAGTCCCCTTTTTCCTGGCACCTTGTTGTGCCCGTCCATACGATGACCGACGTATGATCTGGATCTCCCGCACAAGAGGGGATCCAGTTGATAACGCGCCATTAAGTCCATCGTGCAGGTCTGTCCTGTCCTTTTTCTCTCTGCGTCCATCCATGAAGGCCGATTTGGCAGCGGCTCCCCGTTGTTGAAACACTCGGCCCAGGCGTGTTATATGGCACCGGGATTCTGATATATCCCCCCCTAGCCCGTCATCTCCCGGGCGCGGCGGCGGCAGCGAGCAAACCCCAGCCACCTGCGCCGAAAGGCCAAAGCCTGTGCCTGCTTGCCAGCAGAAAAGGAGCGGTCAACCACTCGGAAAAGTTGTCATACGCGTGGTTCCCACAGGGTGCCATCCTCTACTGTCTCCCCAACAAGCAGATCGCTGTGATATGCGGTGCATGCACGCGAGGGCGTCGTGAGTCGCGTCTTGTGGTGACAGTGACATGACGGGTTAGCCTGGCTGAAAGAAGTTCCCGCGTGCTACCCTATGCGAGGTGATACTGATCACTGCATCGGGGCGCCGGGCTCGAACCTGAGAGCGTGCGAGAGTGCGCCCTCAGGAGGTAAGACCAGCCGTGGTAGGTTCAGTCATCGGGACTCGGCTCCATAAACGCATGGCAACATCCATCCATCCACCCAAATGCTCTCTCCCCCTCCTTTTCAGTAGTGGTGTTCACTGTCAACGCCGGGACTCTGAGTAAATCGCGTTTAAGCTTCAAGATACGTGCAAACCGGAGGCCGCCTTCCGGATGTGGGGGACCAGCATACAAGATGTCTTTCCAGCACCACGGTACAGAAACTTCGACCCTTCCAAAGGTCTAGAGTCAAAGTCGAGTATCCTTCGATCTAGATGCATAAGCTTTGTTGACCGTGACCTCGTTTAGCCACAAGATGAGGCGCAAGAAACGCGTCGCATGGCGCAGATCAGGCAGGCCAAAACAAGAGGGTCAATAGAGGAGTGGTGGACGTGACGTACGGGAATCGCCGTTTGTCTCATGCGAGGAGTTCGAAATAAATTGGGAGAAAAGCTTTTTTTTCGTTTTCTGTTCCTGGCCCATGAAGCTGCGCGAAATGGTCCCCTCACCAGCTCGCAATCTGATCGGACGAATGTCAATACGTAGTTCGCGAACTTCATGCTGAACTGGCAAAAGCCTTCGCATGATACGCCAAACGTGAAACCTATGGTGTGCGATTGATAATGGGTCATTGTGTGTGAACTGCCGGGCCAGACGGTGAGGAGACTCGGTTGCGAAGCCGGGGGGTGCTTGACCGACGTCAGACTAGGGATCGTCCCGTTTTAGTGGTCAAGGAACCGTTATCATCATATTTGCACCGCTTCGCCCCATGGTTCAGGCCAGGCAAAGCTGTGAGCGTGCCAATCCATACGAGATTTTACGGCAACGACGACCGCAGAAATATTTCGAAGCTCTCAGCCGCCGCAGTCGTTGTACACCCCGGCCGGCTGCGGTTGAGCGCCATGACGAAGGCAGGACCCCGAAATCCGTACGGCAGGGAACCCATGGCCTGGGTGGTTTACCAGCCGACTCCTCCGTGCGCAAGTCCGGAAAGCTTGGATCAAGCGGCTCAGTGACGTGGTTGTAGCCGAGGACCCAGCCGACTCCGGGTGTACTCAGGGTTTCAGCAACCGATCGGAAGGCCTTCGGCCGTTAAGCAGGATGGATGTTTACTCCCTGAAAATACTTGAGCGCACTGTTGGTTGCTAGAAAAACGTACGACCTGCCCATCGGCGGCGCTTGCGTGTGGGCGCGATGCGGGTCAGCTCTGCAATGTAACCACACAGCATCCTTTTCTTGACCTGGCCCAGGCCTTGGCCACGGCTTGGCTTGCCAACAAAAATTTGCTCGAGGAAACCGGATAATGGCAAGCGAGCTCTCAATTATTGTGGGATATTTGGCGGTGTTGTGCCTTGAACTTCGGTAATGCGTAGAGCGTCCCTGATGTCTTCTAAATTGAAGTTGTTCGACGTCTCCACATCGGGCTGATGAGAACCCATCAGACAGGCATCGCCAAAAATCTCCGTCAAATATGCACCGGAGTTTTTTTCACCCCTGCCGGCCAATCGGAGAATTGACGCAGTAAGACAACTTGGATCCATTCAAATTGATGAAATTGGATCGCAGTTGTCGTTGGCGACTCCGCTGGTCTCTCCACAACACTGTCTTGTGCTTCGCTGATAAGTTTTCCTGGAGAGTGACTTATAAATGCAACCACAGAAACATCAAGACGAGGAGGTGTGACCCTTGATTGTGATCTTTTTGTCAATGTCCCCTGCTTGTAATTGATTGTTTCCTA